TAACAAGGTAGGCCGAAAGCTTCTTTCATCCTGCCCTGACCGTCCACCACCTTTTAGTGTTGTGTATAACGACGAGTTTGCATCGAGGATGTCCGTGGCTTCGCTAATGAGGCTCCGCGCGGCCTCGCTTCGAGCTCTAGCAGCGGACTCGGACACCTCCGAGTCGGCAGTGATAGCGAGAGTGGCCAGAAGGCTCTTCGGCTCATGGAGGCGAGGCAAAGCTTCCAATGGAGTGGCCACTGGCAAAACTTCCAATGGAGGAGCCACTAACGAAGACTCCAATCCAAGTCCCGGTGGAGCAACGCAGTACAAGCGTGGCAAATGCGGCCACAAGCTCAAAGGTGGAGCCTTTCTTTGCTACCATGCTTGTCACTGTGTCATGGGCATGCCCAAGGGCGCTCATGGCAGCTCGACCGTGGTAATGGGAAGGCCGGTTGTTTCCGCGGCCAATGGTAGTGTTAATGGTGACGGTGGTAAGCTAGAGGCGACCAGGGTGGTGTCCGGGGAGGTTACGGTTGAGGAGAACGGTTCTGACGGGATGGTTGCTTCCCTGGATGCAGGATCTCGAGATAAAAACTCCAAGACCCGAGATGCCCGAGATGTCCGAGGTGATGTCCGAGGTGACGAACTCGGCTCTAGTGGCGAGTTTCTCCGAGGTGTAGTGAGCGGTGAGCTGCTTAGCAATGGGATCCCGGGCCAAGGCGAGAATGGTCTCGTAGGATTCAAGCCGGGGTCAGACTTGCAAGAGATATGGCCAGTGGAGCTCGTGATGCCAGGCTTGGTCATTCATCTGGTGCGTGTTCCAGACGAGGCACCGGGCTCGTCTTGGTTTACGCGGAGGAGGAAGAAACAGCACCAAGCAATCCTGAGAGACCGAGATGATTTCCGGGACCTCGTGGTGTCTCCCTCAATGTTCCTGGATCATATGCCATGGAGGTAACGTCGCCAACCTTGGTTCTTTTCCGTTCTTTGTTGTTGAGTTTCTGTGCTTTGCAGGTGCCAGCGCGGGTTGAACGACGTTCTCAAGCAAGTTTGCACTCGACCACTTCACGCGGACGCGGAATCACAAGGCATCCAAGTCGATGGTTTCTGAAGAAAACTTTCAGTTGAAAAGAGTGGAAATGACAAGCTCTTGCATGAATTTGACTCGCAAGTTTGCTTCCTTCAGTTTGTCGCACTGCTCCTCCGGGGACAAAGCTGCAGCCTCCAGCCTGTGTTTGGAGAGGAAGATTAGAACCAAGACAACCGCGAGGCAATGCCATACCCTTTGTGTGAAGATTGGCTTGCGTGCGAGCTATCAGAGAGCGTGGTGAGGAACGGATCCACTGTGTTACTGGGCGGTGGAGGCCTAACAACGCTTGCATATGGATCTCTCTAAGCTCCTTGGTGAGCAAAGCCAAAGTTGCGTTTGATGCTAGTGCTCCTGATCTTCGAAAACGCCGCCGTCTCTGGATGTGGATGTGTAGTCAAGGAGAATTATCTGATTTTGTTCGTGTTTCAAAACGTTTGAAAGGATATCTTGGAAAGCTGACTGTGGTCTAGCATTATGTGGCCGGCCATGTCTTTCCAAACTAGATCGGACAGACCTGCAGCTAGATGAACTTAGCACATCGCTTGCAATAAACAAGAGAAAGAAAAGAAAATTCGAAGGAAACACAGGATAGCAGCACAGACCAACCGCACAGAAACTAAAGGCACTTACTGCAACCTTAGACTCATAGCAGTGCTCGTCTTCTAGTGCGAACAAAGGACAGCAACATCGTAATCTTCGTAGCAATAGGGACACGAGTACTCGGTATGCTTCGTCTGGATTATCTGGCGATGAAGAGAAAGAAATGAGAAACCATTCCAGAGATTTAGATATCCCCCGTACCTGATTGCTGGCGCTTGGGAGTTGACGAGGAAGCAGAAGAGGAGGACGAAGTTCCGGTGATTGCCGTTACAAGCATCTCCATCGCCATCCATGTCGCAAGTCTTCCTTGCCAGTGGTGGTAGCGTTGGTGGCACGACCAAGCGGCCCCGGTACTATAACGTGTTGGAACTAAGCTGAACATGCACACAACCAGGGCAGGTAGCTACCTGGCACCGGTGTAGGAGGTTCTGGGTTCAATCCCCGGCCTGTCCAGATCCATTTTCCAACATAACGGCCCCGGGTGCTAAGAGGGGTCTGACAAAGCCTCCGCCACCACCACCACCTCTCCCCCGTCCCCTGGCTAGCACCTCCTCGACCGTCACTTGTGCTAACCTTGCGCTAGAACAATGCATGGAAAAAGGGCCCTGCTTTTCGTTCTCTCGCTTTCCCTGTGCCTTGCGCCTGGGCCTTGTGTGCTCGGTGAAGGAAGACGACGCACCACCCGGCCACCGTGGACGCCACGTGGCCGCCTAGTCGGGCCAGTTGAAAGAGATGCGTAGTAACTCCTTGGGCACACGTCCGAATCCCTGGCTGATGCGTAGCATCGCCTCAAACTCGTCGCTGTCCTTCTTCAGGCCGGAAAGTTGCTGGAGCGCCCTCTCCATGAAGGCGTCGTAGCTCTCCAGCGATTGCTTGGACGAGTTGGAGGTACTGCTTCGGGGGGACGACCTCACCAGGCTGTGGAGTGAGGACGAGAGCTTTGGAGAGTGCACAAACGGCATCATCTTCGTCCAAGGGTGGAGGAGCCGGAGGAGCCGAGGAAGTATCAACCTCCATAGCTTCTTCTGCTGGAACAGCCAAATCCATCTTGTCTGCACGCTCGGGCTCTGGATCTTGACCCGAGTTGCTAGCCTCGCCTGGAGCTCCAGAATCTACAAAGGGAAAACCAAGCGGGAGTTATATCCTCGTCGTCGAGGACGAGTCGAGTCCTCTTACCGACGTGATTCGAGTTTCCATTGCATGGATCGTTACACATCCGCGTCAAAACGGCTTGTATGTCGTCACCAGTCTCGGCCTAGCGGACCCATCTCATCAAACGAGGAAGAAAAACTTAGCTAGCTCGCTTAGCTAACAAACCTAAACATGTTTGTGTTCAACATCTTTGGCAGGTACCTGATTGTCAACCGATGGCTGTTGCTTTCGTTTCCTCGGAGAATATGTTCATAACTGTAGTTTTATGTAAACAGAAGAGCTGGTGGACATAAAATGGTGAACAAAATACCTGAACAGGCGGGCCAACAGTTCTCTGGAGTTCGATCTGCTGTTATATGTTAAAAATAACGGTTGTGGACATAAAATGATAAATATAAAACCTCAACAGGCGGCTGATCGTCATCGATGGTCCCTGCCGGGCTGGCCTCAGGCAGCTCCTCATCTTCCTCGGTGTTAAAAATAAATCTTGTGAACATAAAACGGTAAACAACAAACCTGAACTGGCAGCTGATGGTCATCGGTTCCTTGCTCAACAGTCGCTGCCCCTTCAGCTTCGGTCTGTTAAATGTTAAAAGTAAGACAAGCGCATATAAAACTGTAAATGGAAAACCTCAACAGGCGGCTAGCCTGCTTCATCTTCCTTGGTCTGTAGTTACATGTTAAAAGTAAACATTGTAAACATAAAAAGGTAAATAGAGAACCTGAATGTGCCTACGGTTGAGAAGCTCTTGGGCCTGATGGCGGTCGCCCGACATTGGATTCTCGAACCCAGCAGCAGCCAGGAGCCGGCCAAGAGTAATCAGAGGGGGTGCAGGGGAGTCGTCGATGGTGACAACAGCTGGTACTTCTCTCTGAAAAATTTTTTATGAAAGAAGAAAAGAGAAAAGAAAAACCTTCTTCCACTGTAACTTCTTTTGCTCAATTTCGCTTTCAGCCTTTTTTGGAAACTGATGTTAACTTCAAAAGAAAAAGAAACCAAAATAGAGAGCTTGCTTCTCTCTCCTAGCCCTCCGATCACGCTTGCAAGTCTCACTCACCCTCTAGTACTTGTCTATAAGTTTCTCGTACTCTGTAAAGGTTGCGCGAAACGAGCAAATCTCTCTGAATTCTTGGTTTGTCGTTATAGGTCCCGGTGAGCTCTGACCTCATCGCGCTAATCAGAACCTTCTTTGTCTTTGTCTTTCTCAAGAAACTTCTCCGCATGCATATATTTTTTGTTCTTCGATGGTTGGTGGGATCAATGTTTCCTCCCTGCTCCTCACTTAAACAATGTCTGCAACACAAACAGCACAACGTTAAACGTCCACACAGTAACTATAAAACTGATTTCATACCTCTTCTCTGTTGTGGACCTTCAAGTTTAGTTTCCTCTTGAGAAGAGGTATGAAATCAGTTTTATGGTTACTATGTGGACGTTTAACGTTTTGTTGTTTGTGTTGCAAGTGACATTGTTTAAGCGAGGAGCAGGGAGGAAACATCAATCCCACCAACCATCGAAGAACAAAAAATATATGCATGCAGAGAAGTTTCTCGAGAAAGAACAAGCAAAGACAAAGAAGGTTCTGATTAGCACAAGGAGGTCAGAGCTCACCGGGATCTATAACGACAAATCAAGGATTCAGAGAGATTTGCTTGTTTTGTGCAACCTTTATGAGTACGAGAAACTTATAGACGAGTACTGGAGGGTGAGTGAGACTCGCAAGCTCGAGCAGAGGGCTAGGAGAGAGAAGCAGGTAAGCTCTCTATTTTGGTTTTTTTTCTTTTGAAGCTAACATCGGTTTCCAAAAAAGGCTGAAAGCGAAATTGAGCGAAAGAAGTTACAGCGGAAGAAGGTAGGTTTTTCTTTTCTCTTTTCTTCTTTTATAAAAAAAATTTCAGAGAGAAGTACCAGCTGTTGTCACCATCAACGACTCCCCTGCACCCCTTCTGATGACTCCTGGCTGGCTCCTGGCCACTGCTGGGTTCGAGAATCCAATGTCGGGCGACCGCCATCAGGCCCAAGAGCTTCTCAACCGTAGGCACATTCAGGTTCTCTATTTACCTTTTTATGTTTACAATGTTTACTTTTAACATGTAACTGCAGACTGAGGAAGATGAAGCAGACCAGCCGCCTGTTGAGGTTTTCCATTTACAATTTTATATGAGCTTGTCTTACTTTTAACATTTAACAGACCGAAGCTGAAGGGGCAGCAACTGTTGAGCAAGGACCGATGACCATCAGCTGCCAGTTCAGGTTTGTTGTTTACCGTTTTATGTTCACAAGATTTAGTTTTAACATGTAACTGCAGACCGAGGAAGATGAGGAGCCGCCTGAGGCCAGCCCGGCAGGGACCATCGATGACGATCAGCCACCTGTTGAGGTTTTATATTTATTGTTTTATGTCCACAACCGTTATTTTTAACATATAACAGCAGATCGAACTCCGGAGAACTGTTGGCCCACCTGTTCAGGTATTTTGTTCACCATTCTATGTTCACCAGCTCTTCTGTTAACATGAAACTACAGTTATCAACATATTCTCCGAGGAAACGAAAGCAACAGCCATCGGTTGACAATCAGGTACCTGCCAAAGATGTTGAACACAAACGTGTTTAGGTTTGTTATTTATTATTCTGACTGTTGACTCTTTTAGTGACTCTTTTTTTGTCATTTCCCACAAAGATGTCTCCGCAAATGTCAAGGCCCAGAATCTATAAGTTGATACAATTTGAGAACATTCTCAACAAAAAAACAAGAGTACCTTGAGAACATAGTCGGAAACTATACTTGTTCTTTGGCCTTGAATGGCTGAGGCCTGCAAATACCAGCACAAATCCAGGTCAGGATCACGAGCACAATATCACATACTTTCATAAACGCATCGATATCTGGATCTGGCTTGATTCCTGCTGCTCCCTCACGCTTGGCCAGTTCAGATAACATTTCTGCGTTGCAGGCAAGAGAAGTTGGAGTTTGTAGAGCTAGTAGCAACAACATACCGACCGTATGAAGAGCCAACACCTTGACAGCGCGATGAGAAGTCAAATGTCTCCCGTACTGTCAGTTCGTCCAGGTGTACGTCATTTTGACTGGTGTATGAAGCAGTTCGTTGAGGCACAAACTCGTGTAATTCATGACCATTGTAGGTAACACTTCCAGTTACCTGCAAATTCTAAAGTTTAGGCAGTGCAATATGGTCCATTTCAGTCTGACCTTCAAGTCATCGCTGAGCTTCCCAGAAAGAGCGAGAAGAAATGTGCTTCTTCCAGATCCGGGAGGTCCAAGGAGCAGCGTTATCCTGGAAAAGCTCCCGATTTACGCAAGGAAAGAGATGGACATGAAACCGACCTCGATGGTTTTAT